GGTTACAAAGAACTCAATGGAGCTCTAGGAGGAGATTCAGGTGATAAGGGGGGGGGGGGGGGTTACCTTGGTTGCTGATTGGCTAATGGTTACACAAGACACAACACATCGTTATGACATCATCAAGTGGCCAAAATCTGATCAGCTCATTTTCAGACAGGTTTTTATAGAAATGGATCAAAAAGAGAGAAAATCTTTGTTCCTGAAACTTTCAGAGTCTCTTTCCACAGAGGGGACACATGTTGATGTAGAAGAGACGAAGAAGAGGGGACACATGTTGATGTAGAAGAGACATGAAGAAGAGGGGACACATGTTGATGTAGAAGAGACATGAAGAAGAGGGGACACATGTTGATGTAGAAGAGACGTGAAGAAGAGGGGACACATGTTGATGTAGAAGAGACCATGAAGAAGAGGGGACACATGTTGATGTAGAAGAGACGTGAAGAAGAGGGGACACATGTTGATGTAGAAGAGACATGAAGAAGAGGGGACACATGTTGATGTAGAAGAGACATGAAGAAGAGGGGACACATGTTGATGTAGAAGAGACGTGAAGAAGAGGGGACACATGTTGATGTAGAAGAGACATGAAGAAGAGGGGACACATGTTGATGTAGAAGAGACATGAAGAAGAGGGGACACATGTTGATGTAGAAGAGACGTGAAGAAGAGGGGACACATGTTGATGTAGAAGAGACATGAAGAAGAGGGGACACATGTTGATGTAGAAGAGACATGAAGAAGAGGGGACACATGTTGATGTAGAAGAGACGTGAAGAAGAGGGGACACATGTTGATGAAGAAGAGACATGAAGAAGAGGGGACACATGTTGATGTAGAAGAGACATGAAGAAGAGGGGACACATGTTGATGTAGAAGAGACGTGAAGAAGAGGGGGGACACATGTTGATGTAGAAGAGACATGAAGAAGAGGGGACACATGTTGATGTAGAAGAGACATGAAGAAGAGGGGACACATGTTGATGTAGAAGAGACATGAAGAAGAGGGGACACATGTTGATGTAGAAGAGACATGAAGAAGAGGGGACACATGTTGATGTAGAAGAGACATGAAGAAGAGGGGACACATGTTGATGAAGAAGAGACATGAAGAAGAGGGGACACATGTTGATGTAGAAGAGACATGAAGAAGAGGGGACACATGTTGATGAAGAAGAGACATGAAGAAGAGGGGACACATGTTGATGTAGAAGAGACATGAAGAAGAGGGGACACATGTTGATGTAGAGGAGACATGAAGAAGAGGGGACACGTGTTGATGTAGAAGAGACATGAAGAAGAGGGGACACATGTTGATGTAGAAGAGACATGAAGAAGAGGGGACACATGTTGATGTAGAAGAGACATGAAGAAGAGGGACACGTGTTGATGTGGAAGAGACATGAAGAAGAGGGGACACATGTTGATTGTAGAAGAGACATGAAGAAGAGGGGGACACATGTTGATGAAGAAGAGACATGGAGAAGAGGGGACACATGTTGATGTAGAAGAGACATGAAGAAGAGGGGACACATGTTGATGTAGAAGAGACATGAAGAAGAGGGGACACATGTTGATGTGGAAGAGACATGAAGAAGAGGGGACACATGTTGATGTAGAAGAGACATGAAGAAGAGGGGACACATGTTGATGTGGAAGAGACATGAAGAAGGAGGGGACACATGTTGATGTAGAAGAGACATGAAGAAGAGGGGACACATGTTGAAGGTTTGATGTAGAAGAGACATGACGAAGAGGGGACACATGTTGATGTAGAAGAGACATGAAGAAGAGGGGACACATGTGATGTAGAAGAGACATGAAGAAGAGGGGACACATGTTGATGTAGAAGAGACATGAAGAAGAGGGGACACGTGTTGATGTGGAAGAGACATGAAGAAGAGGGGACACATGTTGATGTAGAAGAGACATGAAGAAGAGGGGACACATGTTGATGAAGAAGAGACATGGAGAAGAGGGGACACATGTTGATGTAGAAGAGACATGAAGAAGAGGGGACACATGTTGATGTAGAAGAGACATGAAGAAGAGGGGGACACATGTTGATGTGGAAGAGACATGAAGAAGAGGGGGGACACATGTTGATGTAGGAGAGACGTGAAGAAGAGGGGACACATGTTGATGTGGAAGAGACATGAAGAAGAGGGGACACATGTTGATGTAGAAGAGACATGAAGAAGAGGGGACACATGTTGATGGTAGAAGAGACATGAAGAAGAGGGGACACATGTTGATGTAGAAGAGACATGAAGAAGAGGGGACACATGTTGATGTAGAAGAGACATGAAGAAGAGGGGACACATGTTGATGTAGAAGAGACATGAAGAAGAGGGGACACATGTTGATGTAGAAAGGAATAGAGACATGAAGAAGAGGGGACACATGTTGATGTAGAAGAGACATGAAGAAGAGGGGACACATGTTGATGTAGAAGAGACATGAAGAAGAGGGGACACATGTTGATGTAGAAGAGACATGAAGAAGAGGGGACACATGTTGATGTAGAAGAGACATGAAGAAGAGGGGACACATGTTGATGTAGAAAAGACAAAGTGGATTTTGCATAATAGGTGACCTTTAAAAGCCTTAAAAAATACACCCCAAAATGATCAAATTGCCTCATGTATTGTGCCTTTCATTGGTTGTGGTCGTCTGTTCAAAGCATGATTTGACACAGACTGGATTTGAGTCCGTTGTTAGTGGATTTTGAAGTTTTCTTTCTCTGAGTGTGTGCTTCTTTATGCATGCACCTTGTTTAGTCCTCGGTGTGTTCAGCCTCCCGGTCAACATGTGTTCCTGCATAACGGAAACGTGTAAAACATGACAGAAACTGGCTGCTTCCTCCCAAAATGCCCACATTGTCAATTTGAGAGAGAAAGGAGAGAGTCCTCCTGCAGTGAGATGGATTGATTTCAGAGATTCCTGCGCTGTCAGAAAGCTGTGAAATCCTCTGCAGTTTCATCGCTGTGTGAAGGAGTCGAGGTCACACAGCGTTCCTTTCACTCTTAAAACATTTTTAAATACCGTACGACTCCCTGACATTTCAATTGTAGTCCTACGTCTCTGAGGAGCGCTTTTAAAAAGAACCAGTGCCTCTAACACACTTCTGAAGAGCTGATAAGCCAGTCATTGATCATGAATTAATAATGTCATAATTACTCAATGCGCAGAACTAATTACCGTCTGATTTATGCGCGTCAAGGCGAGTTTATTTAATGCTTAAGATGACAGAATACAAGTAAAACAAGCTACAATTAATAAAATACAATAACAAAAGTTACAGTGCAGTGTTAGCTATGAATATTCTATTGATAATTAAATTGTAAAAAACATGGATTTTTGTTCATTTTTAAATGTGAAATGCATTTTAGTAAATTGCACCATAGATGAGAGTAACACCTACGCAAAACATACGGCCCCGCCCACTTTTGGGGGAAACCAACGCCGCTGTCATTTGAATGGCGGTCGATACAAATTCTGAAGTTTTTGCCAATCCGATCAAATCTTTTAGAAAACCGTGGATTTTCTGATCTTCAAAGAGCTCGGTTACGACGGCCAGTCAGGCAAACATTTACATTCGATCATTGGAAATCGACAATCGGTCTTGATATATGGTTAAATTAAAATCAGTAGGCGAGGCTGTAATTTCTCCAGCTGTTACTCTCATGAGCGAGGC